GTAATTCATTTTTTTTTTGTTGATGCTAAATAAATGGATGACAATTTGAAGAAGTTTTTACAGCATTAATTTTACTTTTAGTTCGCACATATTTAGGGCGGCCCACTCGTTTTTTCTTTTTGGGAAACTTTTCATGGTTCATGCGTCAAATATGCATGAACTCGAGATAGTTTATGTTAATGTAATAAATGGATCTTCAAGAGTCGTACGAGGGACACACGTGGGCCGTGCGTGGGGACAAAAAATGAATGTTAAGAACTCAAAAAACTTTGGGTTAATACCACGAAAAACTCCAGATTTGGTACACTCGTGACAAATTTACCAAAAATTAATTTTTTAACCACAAAAAATCCTAAACTGGTACACCTGTGACAAATTTACCCTCAGTTTGTTTCCGTTAAATTTTACGGTCAAATTGATTTGTTAAATGACATGCTGCAGTTAACGGATGTATCGATTTTATATTTTACCCTTCGTTTGTCACAGGTGTATTCGTTTGTGATTTTTTGTAGTATTAATCCAATTTAACGGAAACTAACGGAGGGTAAAATTGTCACAAATGTACCAGTTTGGGATTTTTGGTGATTAAAAAATTAGTTTTGGGTAAATTTGTCACAAGTGTACAAGTTTGGGGTTTTTCGTGGTATTAATCCAAAAACTTTTTGATGAGAGAAGAATGCTTTAAGAATTTAAATTTCAATGCCATAACAAAATACGGAAGAATAGTGCAAGATGTTCCGTTTTGGAATAATGATACAAATGGTCTCCAAACTTTGGCCCGATGTGCAATCAGTTCCTTGAACTTTAACTTTGTTCAATGTGGTTCATGAACTTTAGCACAAAGTGCAATGTTGTTCATAAATATTTAACTTTTTCCATATAATCCTTGGACTGTTAGGACATATTCAATTTAGTCCATGTACTATATGAGAATATTCAATATTATATTTCTATCAATTCAAGTTCAGGGACAACATTAAACATTTTCATACAGTTTATGGACTAAATTGAATATTACCAAAAGTACAGTAATAAAATTGAACAAATTAAAAGTTTAGGAATGACATTATATATTATATTAAAGTTCAAAGATCACATTGTACTTTGGGCCAAAGATGAATGTATCGTATCTGAGGTCCGAGAAGCTTTCCAGATTGAATAATACTACCATACTAGTGATTAAAGTCAACGCGACACCAGACAAATGACTAGAAATATGATTCAAGGGGGCATGAAATCTTGGGGGATGGAAGATAATCTCTTTCATTTAGGAACTGACAAAAAAAAAACAAATTGTTTAGGGAAAAAAAGACGATGAAAGATAGCCCAACTTAACATCAAATCCACCATCATTTCTGTTATTTAAGCACGAAAATTGGAGTTAAATATTTTTCTTCCAGTCAAGTTTTCGTGTTTTAGTTAGGGGGGTATACTTTTGTTTGGTAAAGGATTTTCATTTGTTACAAATGTTGTCCCTTTGCTTTTTCTCTCCTTGCCTCCAAATATCTCACAAGCAAAATACGAAGCGGTTATGTAAATCAAAGTTATTCGGTATTCGAGCGGTTACCCACTCAGATGTTAGCTCGTATCTTGTCCGGTCTACGAGGTTAATGTTGGTGGAGTTTTCATGTTGGGCCGTTTCAGTGGGCCAGCTTCACCTCTTTGCAGGCCTGAATCCAGCAATCCAAAATGGGCCCATGATGTCTGGACCTGATCAAATGGGCAGGTCGGGTCGGGCTCATTTTCAATTTGAACGGGATGGGCTCGAGCGAGCCTGGGGCCTGTTAGGCCCATGATCGGGTCTACTCGATGGAGCCGTTGTTTTCAATTCTATAGGAATCACAGAGAGGTTAATTCCGCCTTGCAAACTTTTTTTTTTCTAGTGAACTCCAATTCTTTCGATTCACGAGTGTCGCGACCTCCCCGAACCGGCCCCGCCGCCTATGGGGTTTGGCTAATGGATTACTAAGTTAAACCTAACTCGAGCTCTCCCAAGCCCATACCAATTCGCGACTTAAGTTTAAGTTGTTAACATGCAAATCAATCTCATCTAGGAGTCGCCACTAATCGATTTTTTGGTGGGTCGATTAGACACCCAAGTAAAGCACGGGAGAAATGCTTTACTTCTACGAACTAGAGATTCAATGGGTACGGGGACTTGATTACACTAATTGATCAATTAGCGCCATTTCGGTACCTAACCTTGTTCAATTACCGCCTAACATGTTTACACTAATTGGGAGTCTCAAAATTCGATTCCTAACCAAGCTAAGGGAAGCAACCGTCAATACCAGAACCTAACATGCATGGTCAATCACGTTTGAGGTTAAATTAAACACGCAATTTAAAGTGCACAAACCAAACAACGTGCAATGAAACATGACTCTAATCACATAATAGAGCAAGAAAAACCAATTCCAAAGTCCAAATAAAACTTTTGATTTTTCGAATTTTTTGTTAATTTTTTTTAATATAATAATATAATATTAAAAATATTATAAATCGGATCCGGGTCGGATCTCCACATCCGACCCTGATCGGGACCGACCCGGGCGCTCCGGCCCGGGTCCGCCGCGAGGCGGGGGCGGCGAAGGCCCACTTCGGAATAGAAAAAACTACAACCCAAAAACAATTAATTAAAAACACCTAGGCCAGCCCACTATAAATAAAAACCTAAATAACACTTCAGCCCAAATTGACGAAATCAGCCCATTCACGAAATGAACCAAGAAGAGCCCAAAGCCATTAAAACACAATAAACCTAAAGTCAGCCCAAGCACAAAACCCTACCCGGTTTCGACCCGTCCGCCCGACCCGGTTCTCTCTGACCCGCTCGGAACCCCCCTTTAGCAAATTTTTTTTTTTTTTCTCTTTTCTTTTCTTTTGTTTTTCTCTTTATTCTTTTTTCTCTTTTGTCTTTTCTGGTCTCTCTCCCCACGAGCATTTCCTTCCTGGAGTCTTCTTCTTCTTCGGTGGCCCTTCACCGAGACTTCCTCACGCCTGCCTGTATTCCACGTGACTCTCACCTCGGCACTCCGACCGCCGGCACGGGCCGCCAATGCCAACGACCGCCACTGGGCTCACGCCCTAACCGCTGGCCACCGCAGCTGTCACTGAATCACCCCCATCGGCCACCTCTCCGGCCACCAAACCACTAACATCGGCGGCCGATTTTCGACACTAACTAAGACCACACCAACAGCAAACAAACCAACAAACAAAACAAGAATTCCTGTGCGGGAGTGGGAAGGCCAGGGAGCTAACAAGGACGGCTTTCAACCGTAGGCTTCATTGGCAAGGGAGTGGCTCCTCCGCGAAGGAACGCGTACACACGGCCGACTCGGACGAAGTGCATATCGCAACAAAGCCACGTAAAAAACACAGATTGCAGTCACCATTCAACATATATGAGAACTAATCAAGCGTAAAAAAAACAAGTTCCAAGCATGGATTCGCGAAAATCGATTTGGTTCCTCGTTTGGACATTTCATCGAACATGTAACGTGCAAGTTGAGATATGTATTCTAAACTGACATCCAACGCAATTTTCGACCCTATTGTGATATGTGAAGATCTAGACCAGCGTGTTTCACTCTAGCTCCGTCTCAGTTGGCAACGAAATGCTACAAAAAAAACAACACCACCGGATTCGACACTGGGAAACTTAAACAGTCTGGTTTGGACATTTGATCAATCAGGTGTGGTGCAACCCGAAAATGGAGACACAGATCCGATTTTGACGGAGTTTATGATCGATTCTCAACATATAACGTTTAGACCACCTCTCCGGTTCCTCTTCAACTCCCTCTCCGTTTCTTCTTTCCCTCTGTTTTTTCTTTCTCCTTGTGTTTTTTTCTTTGGTCGCACTCTCTATTCTTCTTGGACTGGCTCTTGAGGGCCACAGCAGGCGTGCATGGCTTCCTGCCACCGCCAGCTGCCGTGGCCAGCTGGTTCCTGACCCCAAGATCGCGCCGGGCGATCCTCTGCCCCTCTGCATCGCTTCTGCTTCTTGCTGCGTTCTGCTCTTCTGCTTCGTGCTGCGTTCTGCCTTTTTCTGAATGGATTGCGCTGTCAACAGAGTAAGAAGAAAAGCTTTTTTTATTATTTGTTTTTGTCATTTTTTCTTTGACTTTTCCTTTCCTTTTCCTTTTGGCTTCTCTTCTCGTAGCCCCCCTTCTTACGTGCACTCCCTGAGAGAAAGCAGATGGCCTTCTCCTCTTTTGTATCTTCTCTCTTTTGTTTTTTCTTCTTTATTTTCTTTTTTTTAATTTATAATGATTTTTTTAAATAAATAAATAAAACAAAAGGAAAATATGTTTTCACTAAATTCTATTAATGTAAATGCGCCTAACATCTATATGCCAATTAATTTAATGAAAATATTTTCGTTTAGGGGTTAAAAATTAATCCCTAATTTTTTACGCAATTAAACCCTAAATGACTAGGTAAAATTTAGGTGTCAATAACGAGGTCGCGCTTGTGCGAAACATTCGTGTCGGAGTACCTCAAAGTCGCGTTCCGATGGCCGTTACAGCCATTATCCCTCTATAAATCGGCTCCGGTTGACCCACTCAATATCGAATCGGCGGCGGCATGGTATTCGCTCGTTCCGGGTCGCAAGACAGTCGAAACGCAGTGCACCGGTGTTTTCTAAACTTTGAGGTCCCAAGGCATGAACGTGGACATGATGGGCAAAGTACTTGTGAAGATCGTCGGGTTTCGTTAGTTTGGAAGATTAAGGTAACTTCACTGCTCTCAATCGCTCGTCCATCCATTTATGCAGTTCGATACTTTAGCGCGGGTTTTGCAAAAATTCTGTGATCTGAACGCGCACAGACGACATCCAATCACGCAAAATCGGGTCGTTACCTTGGCGTCGCGTCTTGAACTCGGTTTGGTGGTTTCGTCGTCGATTATTACCGTCGACTTGAACGCACGCCCATTTCTCTTAGTGTATTAGTTAAGAAACTACTCCAAAGTTACTTACGCTTGGAAGAACAGTTGGAACAGGAACTACATACTCGCAAAGTCAGCGAGGCAAGCCAAGCCTAATCAAGCAGGCAAACTTCACAAGATGGTGGTGGACTTAGACAATTGGCTCGGTCGATGCGATGCTACGACAGACGTAACATGGCGGCTAGTTTCACGCCGCCGTGCGGTTTTCTCTTTCCGCATGTGTTTGAGTTCCATCAACTTGTTCTTCTTGCGTGCTGGAGGCCAGCATCTGGGCCTTTCTAGCTTCCTCATCCCAGTCGATCCTCGCAACGAACATCAACAGCAACATCAAGCAAGCGACCACGCCGACCAAGAACCCGAGCAACAGCCCGGCTAGCCCGAGCCCCACCTTGAAAGCGAAGACTATGCCCAAGGGCAGGCTAGGAGGTAAAACCCGCAAAGGTTCGAGCATATCGCAAGCCACGGTTTTGCCGTTCCCCGCACGACTCCTCCACAGACTGCCAACGGGAAATTCACCACTTCCACCACAGCCATCAGGAGCATCATTTTCTTCACGCTCGACACGATGCCCCGGTTGTGGCTGAACAGATTGCCCCAGATCCCCCTAGATGCTACCATGAGCATCGCGCCGATGCAACCCGAGAGGACGCTTACTAATAGAGATACATAGGCCGATTGGTAAGCGATATGGGGCCGATTCGCCCCGAGTTCGTTTGATACTCGTGCGGATGCACATGTCGCTAGAGATAACATGGCTGCGTAGAGGAGATAGTCGAAATTGAGCACGATAGCCAGCACTCCCACCGTCAGCTTGGCGTTCTCTAGCCGCCCGGTTAGCAGCACCAGGATCTCGTAGCACCACCATTCGAGGCAGGTGGTGAGGCAGTATGGCCCGCAGAGCTTGAGCAGTTGGATCCAATCGCGAATTCTGTGTTCCCACCACCCACCTTCCTTCCAATTCCGATCCTTGCCACGTTCGGCAATCGCCACATACAGGGCGAGTAGAATCACTATGATCAGATCAGTGATCCAGACCGCCATCGAAATGCCCTCGAGGCCCTTCGCTTTTGCCAGCAGGATGTTGATCGGGACGTGGAAAGCGAGGGCGAGGGCTGAGCCGAACATTATTGGGATGGTCACGCCCTGCGAGCTCAGATAGGCCTTGAGGGGACTGAGGAAGGAGGTGACCACCAAGTCAGGGAGGAGATGGAAGAGGTAGGTCTTGGCAACGAGCGAAATGTCCTCTTGCTGGCCAAAACAGATCAGGACCCTGTCCACATTGAGCCACAAGAAAGAGATTGGCAATGATGCTGCTAACAACAAGAGGACCGACATGAAAAGGGTCTTGTGGAGGAGCTTGAAGTTCCGAGCCCCGTGAGCCTGACCGCAGATTGGTTCCATGGCGCCGCACAGCCCGTTCAGGACTGAGAACCCGGTGACGTTAGCAAAAGTTAACCCCAGCGTGCCGCCGGCCAGCTGGAGCTCCCCGAGCCGGCCTAGGAACACGGTCGTGCTGGCTATCTTGGCGAACCAGGTCAAGTTCATCACGACCAGCGGCACGGCGATCCCTCTCTGCACCTTGAGCTCTGAGACCACCGTCGCTAGGATCTCGGGTGGCCATCTTGATATGGGTGGCATTGTGGTTTGGCACACAGATGGAGAGACTAGCGTCGCCTATACATATATACTCATGATGGAGCAAAAGTGACTGTTCGAGATAAGATTGATTAGTTCACGAGTGTGTGAGTTTCGTGAAGGTGTTAGTTTCCTCAATGTAACGGCCACGGAGGAAAGGAGATAAGAGATGACGGGGGAGTGAGTTGCATTTATAGTGCGGTGTGAGAAGGCAAAAGAGTGTCCGAAAATCATGGTCACACGCCACCACCAACACCTCCATTCTTGTCCGAGACTGCAACAGCAAAACCACGGTCCTTTTTTGAGCCTTTGTGAAGAATTATTACAGGTCTGCTGCCGAAGGAAAGTAGTTTAATCCATGTACTTTTTATGCGATGATCTTCCATAAATTTAGAGAGCAAAATTCAGACGGGTTTGGACATTTGTCATATCCATTTAGCTAGCAAATTCTTGATGAGATGAAGGTATTGCTGAGTGGTGGCAAAAAGGTTACAGAGCTATATGTAATTCCGTGGTCCTGCAAAGGTAAGGTGGCCAAATAGGGGGCGAAAAGGATTAGCACTAAACAAAGCAGTACCGCCTTACCATACTCAATGGAACTTTTGACATGAAAGTTATTGTATACACATTCATAATACAATATGAAGGGTACCATCTGATGTGTCACTTTTATATAAAGTAGATGGCATATTGACGATGCGTGCGATTGACTTAATGTGATATCATGAATTTAAGAGGTAATTTGCAGCTGAAACAAGTGAGCGTTGAATATTGAGTCAAAATTGAAACTTTCTTAAGATATGTTTCGATGGTTTGACGTCAGTCATCGGTATGTGACGTAAAGAATGTATCTTTCCCTATGAAGATTGCATAATCACGTGATCTTTAATTGGCACAATAGCACCTCGAAAAATCTTTGTAATTTCATTCAGTGCGTGTTCCAAGACAAGTGTTTAATTACGTACAATTGGATTACGAAAAATAATTTCAAACAGAAAGTATACAAGAATCGCTCCTTGGGCGAATATGCAAAGGTTTCAACCTATTTGTCTGAGAATCACTTCATAGAAAGAGGATCAAAGAACCACTCCAAGCACCCTCCATCTGACTCTCAGAAAGCAGATGAGAAAACTCGAAACTCAGCAATTAATTAGCAGCTTAACAATTTCAAGAACCCATGATTAATCAAATAATTTAAATAAATGAACACAGATTTATTATCTCATTGGGTTGTGGACCACGGAATTTGTGCACCCAAAGGCTCTTTAGAGCATCGTGACAGAAATGTCAAAGGAAAAAGGTTCACCCGCGGATCAAATCATTCAATCCCTTTTGCTTTCTTTAGTATATAAACACGACACTAGGCTTTTTAGGCCCAGTCCCACGATGTAAAGCTAAGCATATCTGCCCAAAACTCTATCCGAGTGTGGCTGTCTCTTTTGATCACATCTCGTCTGAACTTCGGAGAGAGAAATGCATGTAAGATTTGGTCAATTATACGGTCAAAATTGAGGAGACTCTTCATGTTAAAGGATGCACAGCATGTTAATTTTTCTAGAAACCTTTGAAAACATAGTAGTTTGAAGCTAGTCGGCTCGTTGTGGGATAATATTTGCTTGCATTGCCAGTGGCGTAGATTATTCATACGGCGTGAACAAGATCGATTGCTTCCAATGACTCCGAATGTGCATCTTTTTTATTGTTTCGAGCTGCTTATGAAAATATTATTTGCGCACGGGATACCTCCTTTATTTGGAGGTGCTGTGGAAATTCTATCCTAGATGCTTTTCCCGAAATATATGCATTTTATATGCACGTAAAATATTTTACAACAAGAGTGCCACGGGCATATAGGAGATTCCAAGACCTTGAGACAATGAGTGCGCATCTATCAGCATTGATCTGAGTTAGGAATATTAGGTATTAAGATGACATGAAGTTACTTGATTCCTATGGATATTGGGTTCAATCTACCTCATTTTGAATTCTCCCAATCTATGAATCTAAAGATAACTAGGTACAAGAAAAATAAAATATAGAGATAGGGAACCCAGGAATCATTATCATTCCTAAAGCGGTGCAAAGGTTGTACCATGAATCGAATCATAAAAAGATTAGGCAATTGAGTAATGATCTAAAGTATCCAATACCCTGGATTAGTCTAAATTGTCGGTGATGTTTAAATCCATAGTTTGATTTATTCCGTGACAATCACGATTCACGAGTGCTAAAAGACCAATGGTGTGTTCGGTAACCGTTTTGTTCCCGAAAATAATTTCTGCTCAGAAATAAGTTTTTTTTATTCTATTCCCGAAAACAATTTCTAAGCATTTGAAAGAAATCATGCCGGTTCCAAGACCAGGTGGGTTGGTTTCTGGTTCCACAAGTTGGGAATCGACCCTTCTGGTCCTTTTCCGGTTCTAGGCAGGAAATCGACCTAACTTGGAATCGATCACCCCTAATATTCTATGGGTAGAGGGAGCTTGCATCATCACATAATAAAGTGCCCTCGGGGCACTTATTACTTATCCAAGAAAAAAAAGTAAGTCATTTTTGAATTATTGTTGCCTCTTGTTTTGCAAAATCAATGTATTGAAGATGAAACTATTTCTTTGTGAAATATGATTAACAAGTGTCCTGAAAGTACTTATTAACAAGACTCATACTTAAAAAAGGGTCCAATTCTCTTAAAAAGCATTAACTTTACTTAAGTCCCAATTTTGCCTGAAACTTTTTTTTTTCATACAAAAGCACAAATTTTAGGTCGGATCCCAATTCCAACTAGACTTTTTTTTTATTTCATAAAAAAACATCAATTTTAACTCGTATCCAACTCTGGTCCAAACTTTTTTTGTCTTATTAAAACACATCATATTTCAGTTAGTATCCAAATCTTGTCTTTGTCAAGTTTCCGCCAAGTACACATGGAATGACACATCGAATCTTTAATGGCATCTAGGACCATATTTGGGTACCGACTAAAAGTTGGTGTTTTTTTATTTATTTATGAAATGACAAAATATAGGCCACAATTGGGACCCTATCTAAGTTGGTGTTTTATATGAAACAAAAAAAAGGTTGGGGTTAGAATTGGGACGCGGGCTAAAGATGGTGCTTTCTTATGAGACCCCAGAAAATGTTGGCCTAGAATTGAAAATAAATTAGTGCTTTTAGAGGGAATTAGGCTTTTAAAAAGGATAAATCGAGCTCTCTGTTATTTTCAAAAGACTTTATGAATATTTCTCAATCAGGATATCAAAATTATTAGGCCAATACCTGGATGATAACTCTTAACCACATAGTCGCATAAGCACTTAAGAAGGCGAAGACACATATATTGAGCCTCGAAGTTAATCAGGAAAATGCATATTGTACTGTAAGCATTTATATCATTGCCTATGTTTCATAAGTCTATAAGAATATGTCTTACATATAAGTATCATACCACCGGTCAGGTGGCAAGTCGTGAGCCAATTTTTTTTGAACACCAGACTAGACCCACCATTCGAGTCCGACACATATCGGGTGTAGGAGATTCGTAAGAAATTCCTTTCTTATAACTTGACTAAGACCTCATGTTCTTTGAGACGCATGATTTCAATTGTTTTGCCCGTCGATCGACCTGTTGAGACTTAGCATACATTTATTTTTTCTTCTTCTTGTGGAAACGAAGGTGGGATTGTGTGTTAGAAGATGGCGAGCAGGGGGGGAGAGAAAAACGCAGAGACGAGTCAAATCCTTGCATTCCATGGCTCTACAGCCACCACCATCCAATCAAGCAACCAAATGCTCCTCTATTAGCATCGAGTATTAGTAACCACATGTTTTAGAATTCCTTAATTTCTAACCTCAATTTTTGTCTGTGGGATGTATTTCTGTCTGAATTCGATTTGACCCTTATGTGGAAGTAGAAAGAATATCCCTTTTTGCCCCCCTTTAGTGGGTATCGCAGAAAGAAAAGATTCCCGAAGTGGGATCGAAGGTGTACCTCTACACTTTGTCTAGTCAATAATGGTGATAATGATTAGTGCTTGGTGACCCATGAGGCTGGACCTCAAAAGAATCAACCAAAAGCTCAATAAATAGACAACTTGTTATTGCAATTTCCTAAGGTATGATTAATATCCACACATGGAAAATTCTTATGTACGTTTCTCTAGTTTCTAGTCTAGAGCAATCACTAAGATTTAAAGAACTAATACTGAAATCAGTCGAGCTCATCTTCTGACTCGTAACCAGGGTAGTGAAATTTACAAACAAGAATGTTCTAAGTTATGGAATCATACATTCCACAAGTTCAAAGGGTGGAAGAATACGTTTTGCGATGTGTAGTAGAGGTGAGCAAAATGAACCACCAAAACTGGTTGGTTCCGAGCGATTTCCGGGGACACCGGTCCGGTTCCAAAAAAATTGGAACTGGTGATTTTTGGTTAGGTTCTTGATTTCATGGCTCTATAGCCACCACCATCCAATCAAGAAACCAAATGCTCCTCTATTAGCATCGAGTATTAGTAACCACATGTTTTAGAATTCCTTAATTTCTAACCTCAATTTTTGTCTGTGGGATGTATTTCTGTCTGAATTCGATTTGACCCTTTTGTGGAAGTAGAAAGAATATCCCTTTTTGCCCCCTTTAGTGGGTATTGCAGAAAGAAAAGATTCCCGAAGTGGGATCGAAGGTGCACCTCTACACTTTGTCTAGTCAATAATGGTGATTGTTGCGGAACTCAAGCGATCGAACAATAAAATTGACAGAATAAGAAAATAAATCGGACACCAGATTTACGTGGTTCGGTCGTAGTGACCTACAACGGAGATTACAACCACACTCGAGTCACTCAAACACTCTAAGTGTTTCCCAAGCCTCAATTACACCCAACAACTCACACAGTGTTTAGCCCCACAATTCCTCACGAAATAATCTCTCAATCTCGCAAAGGAGTTGTACACAAATCTTAACACAAGATTTAATCGCTACTAACACTTGAATTCTTGGTGTAATTGCACGAACAAGAACAAGCCCACTTTCAAGCACTCGGAAACGGTGCTTCAAGACTTCGTATCAACAATAGCCTCGCATCCCAAGCACTCACGCGGCAGCTGGCGCTTCAAGAGGTCTTCTGTGCCTCAAGAGCCTCCCCACAGCACCACAATTAATATTATATACCCCAAGAAAGAATATGCAGTGGCCGACTCCAGCTTGGACAAGAAGGAAACCATGCAATCCTAATGGAATTCGGTCAACAAGTCAACTTTCCTCTTTTGACTTTTCTTTGGCCG